AAATATTACAATATGTACAAATTTACTCCTTAGCTTAAGGAGCATACTTGTAAATGTATATATTAAAATATATACATTTACAAGTATGTACTGTACTGTAAACTTATAAATGTATATATTTTAATATGATTTTGTACGCTTTAAACGCTTTTCTAGTGCTATTACGATTTCAATATTTATGGCGGACAGACGTAAAGTCGAATAAAATGACTTAAACTTGATTTTTATTTTTCCATATACTTTTTTGACAAACGACGTATAATCGGGAACTACGTAACTCGAAACGACGTAAGTCGAGGTATACCTATACAGTACTTATTAAACTTCAGTAGTGAATGATTATCCAATAAAATCTGTATTAGTGTTTGTAATATACGTAAAATTCAACAATAACTACTGTATTTTCGTATTATGACATCTTCAGTTGCAAAATATAAAAGTTACAAAAGTAAGGATAACAAAATGAATAAAATAAACATTTATTAAAAATTTGTAAGTACCCATCACAAAGTGAATAATTGCACCCAATTACATACGATAAAGTAATTTTAAATTTTTTCTATTTAACTCATGTCTTAATTTTTATTTATTTATATTTAAATACTGTATGCTAAAACAAAGTCAAAATATAATGATTAAAGATACAAAAATAATTTCAAAATATAAAGATGTTTAATACATTTTTCACACAGAGTTTAGAGTTGTCTCAAATTATAAATTGACTTAACAAATGTCTGTGTTAATAAACAGAATAACAGAGAATTTTCATAGGAACATTCGTTTATTTCCAAGGGTTTACAAAACATTCAGACGTCACAAGATAAAGACAACTTCACAATGTATGGAAAATTATCTACTTTGGAAACTTACGAAAATTATTTTAATAAATTTTATTACAAAATAATAATTTGAATTTTTTAAAAAAGTTACTTATTGAATTTAACTTATTTAAATTCAGTTTTATGGTAAAATTATTACATAATATAAAGCCATTTAAAATATGCAATTCTTCTAGACTATTTTAACCAAAATATAGCTTAAAAATTATAAACAAGATCAACCAGAATTCAGAAGAAGAACAGAATTTTAAATTTATTTCACATTTATGAAACTCTTGAAAAATTCTGATGTCATATTATGCAAGATTCTTCTCATCAGCTGATTAAAATTTTTATAACATTTGTAAATCTAAGTATAAAAAAATTTTGTTAGACTTCTAACTTGTAAGTTAAGGCTTCTTATTTTTGTTTTTAAATATTTCACAACTGTAAAAAGCTATATAAATCATTAAACATATTAATTTCTGTAAGAAAGCAAATTTTATAAATAATAAACTTAAATTCATGTTAAATTATTATTATAATATATATCATATATACATTTAATTATTATTTATTCATTTTCTCCAATTTAAAATTTTTAAAAACATGTTTAATTATATTACATATAATAAAAATTTAGTACTTAAAATGGTAAATTTAACAAGTGGAATGTTAAGAGATCTTTACAATCATTTCAGATATATATATATATATATTTATTTTAAAAATTTTCATAAAAATATACATACTGTACACATTTATACACAGTTTTTAAACCTTTTTGCAGTTTATATTATGATTTAATTATTTTAACCACAAAATTAAAAGTTTTTCATATAAAATTTGCTATTAAGTTGGCAGAAGATATCAGGTTATAATTTGAATTTAACTCAGTTTTTTTTCCAAAATTTGTATAATTATGTACTTCAACCTTTGAAGCAAAAATAAATACAATAAGTACAATTATAAGTTACATTTTTGCATCAAACATTCCTGAATATTTAATTTTCATAAATAATTCAAAATACATTCAAATAAACTTACTAATCACAAAAATTATTCTAAAAAACAACAATAATGCTTCTACATAGTAATTTCTAAATTGCAATCTAGACAAATTTTTTTATATTCACAATTTGAATCTGAAAAGAAACATTTTCAATACTAAGACTTATTGTTTTTGGATATCATGGTTATATTATATTGTAAGAATACTGTATACACATTCTTACATTTTAAACATAAAACAAATGAAGAAACAAAAAGTCTTAAAATTAAAAGATAACAAAAAGATTATTTTTTAAAATATTTCTAAGACATGACCTGATTTAAAAATTTGGAAATTACCTGTAAAATACATTTAAAAGGACGGAAAAATTATATACTTTATATTGTAAGAGACTGAGATAAATGGACGGATTAAAAAAATTGTCAGTAAAAGGAAATTACACAAGGAATAGTTTAAACATCACTAAACAATTTATCATGGTTTATATAAAGGGGTATATAGATTTTTAATATAAAATATATAATTGAATGAAATAATTAAAACATTTATAGACAAATATTATAAGGGGGAATGTGATATTTATTACATTATAATCCTAAACATTTCATTTGTGAATCACTAATCCAAAAATAATTCATCATTTAAAATCCTTTCAATATCATAAGGATAATTAAGAACATAGAAAAATTTGTATTCTATATCAAATAAAACACTATTTTCAATAATAGATTTAAAAAATAAGATTATTTAGATATCACACATTATGATTATCTTATAATAGGAAGCTTACTATACATATATTAAGAAATCTAAATCATTTTTTACAAAAGGAATGCAAGAATGTTTTCCTATTTCCCTAAGGTAACATTCATACTATAAATATTACTTTTTTCTATATATATAATATCTTTTGTAACTTAAATCCAATCTGGGAAACACTCGAGCAAATAAACCAAAACTGTTTTAATGGAGTAAAACAACGTTACAAAATTTAAGCACTGGTAATTTAAGCGCTTTCAAGCTCAAAGCTCGTCATCATCAGATCAGGCCAAATGAATAAATTTAAAATCTAAACATTATGTACCAGTACATGTAGTTGTTGATAGATAATACTTCATCTACTGCAAAGAAGGAAGTTTTCTTAGTTGATTTCAATTTCAACTAAGAAAAATGCCTTCTTTGCAGTAGATCAAGCATTACCTAGCAACAATTACACATTTATAATATTTGCACTTTAAATTTATTTGATCTGATGATGATGAGCTTTAAGCTTAAAAGTGCTTAAATTACCAGTGTTTAAATTTTATAAAGTTGTTTTACTTCATTAAAACAGTTTTGATTTATTTGTTAGTCTGAGATTTTGCAGTTTTTGTATATATTTACTGGGAAACAATTTTCAACATTCTTATTGTTTACAAATTTTCCCAACTCTGAATATTTCTATTGGATGTATTCTATATAATTATAATTGATATATATCAACAAAAATACATATTATACTATATAGGTATCTGTTGCTTAACGCATGAAAGTAATTGCAGCAATCCCTTTATATATGCGGCAGAAGTTTTAATTAACGCAGCTTTACCAGCTGTTTTTACTTAACATAGATACTGTATACAAACATCGCTAAACCCAATATATAATATAGCTAAATACCAACCAAATGCTGAAAATCTATCAGGCTAGTTTAAGGCTAATTACTAATGAATTACATAACCAATTTGGCTCTAGAGATGGCACCTAACGCTTACCTCTAGAGCCAAATTGGTTACATAATTCATTTAGTAATTAGCCTTAAACTAGCCCGATAGATTTTCGGCATCTGGTTGGTATTTAGCTATAGATACTGTATTTGATTAATTTGATTTTGATACATGTGGTAGCATCGAGGGATTAATTAACTGTTAATCAAGGGATACCTGTATTTCAAACAAATAAAAAACACTAACTAATTCTAAAATTGTTTTATAAAAGAAATTTCTAAGAACTTATAGTTAAACAGTGCCAAGTAATCAGGAATAAGAATCATTACTGAATATAATTGTACTTAAATTTCTAGTCACTTAAAAGACTTCTCAGAATTTCAATGAAATGACAGTAATATATAAACAATTAGTTACATAATATCATAAGTGAAAAAAAACTGATTATATAAATCTTTCTTATAATAAAAAAATTTTTTAATAATATACCAAAATTCAGTAATTTTCTCATGCATCTTTCTACATTTTGCTCAAATTAAATTTCTATAAAAACCAAAGAAGTAATTTAACTCATTTAAATGTTATATGAAAATTTTATTAAACTAATTGCTCATCATAATATACTGTATTATCTATATGGAATGAGATAATTTCATTTGTATTAAAATATGACTTTTTCCTGCTTTGAAATATCTCAGAAAATTGGCTTTAAATGCATTTTATTGTATTGTTCACTACATAATCTCTACTTTTTAAAAGTTATTCCTTACTAAAAGAATAACAATTAAAGAGTTTTCAATTCCAAAAAAAAATATTAAATGTGTTTTTAATTTTTCCTGTTAATACAATATTGCTTAATCATAGAATTGTTAACAATACAAGAATTAAACTAATCTCATTTAAACATATCATTATTACTATTTATGCAAAATAGAAACATGGAATGTAATAGGGAAGAACTAATAATTAAAAAATTTTTTGTGTACATAGATTAACAACTTTCCTCAAATTAACAACCTTCCATAAAGTGAATGCACTAAATATTTTTGGCACATGCTACTAAAATTTCAAATATCACAGTAGCCTTCACTTTTATTAGTTAAAATTAGCATTATATTGACTTTCTAAAGGTAAAAAAAAAAAAACCTTTTACAGTAATTTTATATCTTGTTTCAAAATATGTATCCTATTTCAATTTCATTCACATTTATGAATTATACTCTAGGAAGATATTCAATTAATATAGCTGTCAAAATAAAAATGAAAGACTTAAAAGATTAAGTACAATATATTTGATTAAATAAAACTGATTTTAAAGTCTTTTTTAAGAGCATGTTATAAAAATTTTTTTACATTTTTAAAGTACAATTTTATCAAGTTCCCAAAAATAGTTCTTTTTTCATAAAATACCATTCTTCTAAAAAAACTTTGATAACTGCTTAATTTCTTAAAAGTTTTGGATGGATTATTTTATTCAAAGTTTTACACATATCAACCAAAATGAAAATATAAATAATAAAGAACCAATAAAATCAGTATTACTAATTAAATGAGCTGGATGCATTCCAATATTTTTTGCATATTTTATCAATTCAGCCAAAGGCAATGCCACATGTAATAAATCTGGAATCATGAATCCTACATCTCTTAAAATTTGATGAAGATCTCCTTCTCTTCTCAAAACGTTGGCCACAAATTGATCAGAACCACTTGCAACAATATGAAGAATGGCAATATCCATGATGATAAGTAATTTTCTTGGAGTAACTGGATTATTTACATCTTTAATTTATATAAAAAGTTAAAGTTTAATAAATGTTTATTTAATTATTAAACTTATAGCAAATTTCTTATTTTAAAATAAATTATGTAAATACATATATAAAAGTTACTGACATTATTAAAAAAATGTCTGAAATTATATTAATTAGATAAACTATTTTTAAATATTACAGATTAGAATAACACAAAAGTATTTTGATAATTCAATGAAGCATTGTCATTAACTTTTATTACTTAATAATTTCAGGATTAACATGTAGAACATCTAGTTATTTTAAATTAAAATTACAAGATGAAATCAATCATTTATATAAAATTACCATAGTTTCCTGTGACTGATAGGAAACTATGGTAATTTTATCAGTGGATTATCAGTGTTTGAAAGTTAATTTGACAACTGGCTTGGAATATGCAATGATGAGGGTTATTTGATGATTAACTTTCAATTACAAATTCATCAGATATTGCTTTATCTAAACTTATCAAGTATATCTTTACAACTTATGAAAAAAAATTTTACAAGCTGCAGACACATTCATCTGTCATAGTGACTTTTTCAAAACCAAAAGACACAGACATACTTCACCTTTAGTTTTCTCATATTCCTTTTCTGTATGTCAATTCATGTTTTAATTGCTATATTCACACATTCTAACTTGTACTGAGAAAGCTAATAAGTTTCTGATAATTCTTCTTTTTCTATATAACAATTTTCAGAGAATTATTTAGAAACTAACTATCAAATTCTCTACAGCAAAAAAAGCTGCATAACTGACTGTTGAATTTGTATCATATATTATATGCAGCATTATATATTATGCAGCATTAAATTGTTTTTTTTTAGGTTTCTTTTAAACTTAATAACAACACTGTAAGAAACATGGATTCACAACAGTACATACTGTATATCACACTACAGAAAGCTTCTTTATTGAACACTTGTTGCATAGTCAGGAAATTCTTATACATAGATATATATGCAAACAGCATATAAACAAAATAATAACTTGTTCTGTAAATGTTGACCTTGGTCCAGCACCAGTATATAAGCCAAGCAGAAATACAATTCACTAATATAGTATTTATTACTATTATTATGTTGCATTGGTGAATTGCATCCTACATGATTGATACTAGTGCCTACTACTATGCCAGATCAAAATCAATGCATAGCTGCAAAAAAATTTTATCATGTTTATGTGCTGTTTGTACATGTATCAGTATTTAAAAATTTCCTAACTGAAGTGTTTTGTATGGTTACTTTTGGTAATATGTTATATGTGATATTGTTAAAGCCTAATACTTCTACATCCAAACAAGGATCTACAGAAAAAGTTATATATGCATTATATACTCTTAAAAGTGGTAAACAGGTAATGGCTTAATAGTTCCCAATACAATTATTGTATTAAATATGCATAATGTGCCAAATTAGAAAATTGATTTAATAGAATTTACCTTTAGAAATAATTTTTTTCTAATAACAGACTTTTACAGACAAATAAATGGTATAAATACAGGTACAGAAATAGATCCTATGTTAACAGAAATAAGTATTACAAATTTAGATAAAGAAATTGGAAAAACTTAAAAGAATAAAAGTTTTAGGTTGTTATATAAATGACATAATAATAATATTTGATAGTAATGAAATAAATCAGAATGAAATATTATGATTTGCTAATAATTTNAAAATATTAAGTCTCCAAAGGGGAGCCAGAAAGGTTCAAAAGTGCTTGTACTTCAAATATTTATAACTTTACTCTGATAAAGCATAGTTTAGTATAATTATATCATTTGTTTTCCACTAAAAAACATATCATATTAATTAAAATTTAATAATTATAAGTTCTTTAACCAATTTTCTTCATTTAATCAAAGAAAGAATTTCATTAATGTAAGCTTAACGTGTATATTGAAATACGAACTGCACATTATAGTTTTGTAGTTATGAAAATTACATTACCGACAATCAATTTATTGCAATAAACATGTGATATATATATATACATATACACACAAACACATACACACATATACATATATATAAGAAATAGATTTAATGTTAAATACAGTAATACCCCAAACTTACGCAATAGGTGGGACTGAGCGATGACCGCCTAAGTCGAATTTGCATAAGTCGGGGTATAATTTCGCAATTTGTGTAAAATCCAAGTCAGATATATGTAAGCTAATAAATGTTCTCATTAATCATATCTCATCTTTTGATTCGTTCACGGTTACAAGAAATCACCACAGAGAGTCTCTCAAGTCGCTGTAGATATAACAAACACAGAAATAAATAACACAAAATAAATTGTAGCTATGTGTCGATTCTGCGCAACACATCCGAACATGTAAGCTGAACAATAGTGTGAGGGGAGTGAGTAATCAAGAGTTGTGTGGCGCTCAAACAAAAGACAAATCGACGAGATTTGAAAATCGTGTAACTCCAGGTTCGCGTAAGTTGAGGTATTACTGTATTGTGATAGTGATAATATTAAATATGTATCATTTCCTTAAATTGAATTTATTTATAATATATATTAAAAACAAAAGGTTTAAAAATTTAGGAATATTTATAGTTCTGAATTATAAAAATAAATGTAAGTTAACAAAATCAAAACAAAAACAGACTGGAAAATATGAAAGAAAATAATAGCAACTTACATATACTATACATGTATTCCATGTATAGTACATGTGTAAATAATAAAAAAAGTACTATTTAGGAGAAACAAAAAGGAAATTGAAAGTTTGAGTTAAGAAACATAAAAATTCAATCAGATTGAAATGTAAACAATTGCCTGGGTATTCAGATGATCAATATTACAACTTTGTATTTTTACAAAGATAATGATAATATAATATGTAAAAAAATATATTACAAGAAAGGACAGTAAAAGAACATTTTATGCTAATGAAAAATGAGAATCTGATTAATTTGAATAAAGGATGTACATGAATGTTGGGATGATGTCATCAGTAAGATTTGTCTTAAGTCATGTGATTAATAAAATAAGCCTGAATACTGTAATCCATATGGATTGTTTACACTTTAAAGGTTGTTAAAAGTTGAAGCTGTATAAGTTAAAAAGCAGATGAAATAAGTGGTCTCATGAACATAGGTTCTTAATAAAATTGTCACTTAAATTAAATAATTGTAAAAATTTATTAATTACTTTAGTAAATTGGAGAGGGCAAAACAGTGTGTCATGGCTGATGTAATGTAAACAGTTATTTTTATCAAACATTTTTAATATATAAATCATTTTTACAAAATTTAAATTGTCCATGCTGTGAAGTAGTCTTCTACATATAATGTATTTCTGGTCTTTATTGTATTTGTTTCATTGGTTAAAATGAGTTCATGGATTTATCAAGTAATATCCAAAAACATTTTTTTAAAGTAACAATTATTGTAAGTCAATTGGAAGGGAACAATAATCCATTTCAAGTAACTAACAGTAGCAGAATCCAGATGTAAACAAATTAAGGTGTCAAGAAGACTAAATAGAAGAATTTAGAGAAACTGCATACTGCCATACTTTTTAAATTTTAATATTTTAAAATGTTTAGAAAAATAAAATTTTGAAATATTTTATGTTCCGTAATATACTTATACATTAAATTTCATATAAATAATTAAACAAATTTGTTTAAATTTACAAAAATCACAAAATCCAATAAGTTACGAAGTCTTTTCATCTAAAGCAGAGATTTGGATTTTCTTCAAAGTTTGACAAAGTTAATGTTCTTTCATATCAAAAGTGAATAATCATGTTTTTATTGTATTGCTTAATTATTACTTTTGCTTTTATGAATTCAAAAATTATGTAAATATTTTAATAAATGTTTATGGGCCAGATAAATCAAAGCAAAGAGGCATTCCACCTGAAGTTTGGTGACCTCTACAGTAATTGAAACTGAAGACAATGCACAAAAGGGGTATCTTTTTCTTTTCAAGATTTCTCTCAAATAATTTAATCTATAATGCCCTCTTTAAAAAAAAAAAAAAAAAATTGATGCACCTCAAATCAAGAATGCAATAGTTTTATGAAAGCATTTCATGATATCTAGCACTTCACGAAAGCATTTCATGAAGTGCAAGATATCATGTATTTAACTTGAGAGCTCTTTAATTCTCAGGTTGCATTGTAATGTAATGCGCAAACATGATGTAGGCTCCACACTTTAAAATTGCTATATCACCTAAACCATTTGATACAAAAAAAAATCAATATTAGAAAACAATCTTCAGATTAATGAGTACAAATTTTACAATAAATTTTGTACCATTACAAAAAATGCAGACACTAGCATGAAGTTGGCCCCCACATTTTAAAATGGCTATATCTCAAACTGATATAAAATAAAGTTATTAGAGAACAATCCTGAGAATAACAAATACAAGTCTATGGTACAGGTTTTGCACCAGTACAAAAAATGCAGGGGAGACTTTAAGGTATGTATTTTGTATGTTGGGATGCTTGGAATGACTATGTCTATGAGAATTTGTTTGGTCTGTGATTATGGCTTGGTCATTGTATATTTTATGCTTGTTGTTTTCTAAGAATGTCTACAATATATATTTCTAACATGCTTGCTAAATTTGTAATAGTTTATGTTTAAGCTCTCTATGTATTACGTATATGTAAACAGTGGTATGCAAAAAGCTTGCAATCTGATGTGATGTATACTTTACAGCTTTGAACATGATGTGACATTTCCTAGAAAAGTCTGTAGTGTAGCATTTTTTAAGATATGCTTTCTGTAGTTTTATTTACTTATGAACTGATCTTGTATGGTGATTATAAACCCTATAATCACTCCAAAGAGACTTTATAATAAATCCTGTAATCACTCCATGAGTAAGCCAGCAGTTTAATACAGTTCTAACAATATGATCCTAGCTAAAAATGTTAGAATGCTACTATGGAGCTTCTTCTGGGCCCAAGGTCTTGTCTTGTTTTTATCTGCAAGAGTTACAGCTTTGTGTAATTGTG